CAAGAGGTCTCAATCATCACAGTTTATTTTCTATAACATTCCTGAATCAGGTCAACAAATCTGTGCATGTATACGTTTTATTTGATCTAAAGGAACAAAAGAAATCAACAACTGACAATCTCTGAGATCTTGCCCCTTCTGTGTTGTGTTTCCACATATTTGTTGGGGACTGCTTTAACATTTCTGAAGAAATCTCTACTTTGATATTACTTTAACTACTTCTGGATCACAAAACTGATTCATGGGTTTTCGATTTCTTTCACAAAACACAAAGTTCTTAGACATGTGAAACAGAAATAAATGTATGTGCTGAAATTAGATTCTAAGTCTAAAACACCCTTCAATCAACAGGAACAGCACGGAAAACTACAAAACCCGAGCTAGATCTACACTCATATGTAACAGGAACCCAAGAAGGCAAACGTGCTCCTTCTAATACAGGAGGTCTCCTCTACTTAGAAGGTTAAAGGCGTTTTCAACAAGAAAGTGAAGACTGTGCTCAGACTTAACTAGGGGTGGAGGACTTGCTGGACTTGGCCCTGAAACGCGCCATAGCTCTGGCATTACGACCTATGCCGATCCATGCTGTTGCTGCCCCTCTCTCCTCCTCATCTCCCCAAGTTTCTTCATAAACGGCTTGAAAGTCACTGGGATCAATATTCTTAATCTTGACCAAAAACTCCTGGACTTTCTTCTTGTTGGCTTCAATGTGGGTCCTGGGACCCCATAGGAATTCATAGCATGGAGGATCACTGCCAGGCACCTGCCTGTATTCCAGGTACTTTTCCTGCACCAAATCTCTGGTTAGAAGCTTCCTGGGCTCACCGAAGATGAAGTGTCTCTGCCCATCATAGATCCCTAGTGCACTCAAGAATTCCCAAATCGATTCCTCCGTGGCCCGGTAGTTGTTCATGTAGATCACGCCCAGGAGAGGCATCAGAAGCCCAAGCTTGGGAAACCCTCTGACACCAGTAATATTCTCTTCCTTGGTTATCTCCAACTGGCTGACCAGAGCATAGGATTGGCCTTTAGGGTCGACTTCCTTCAGCTCAAGGCCAAAGACCAGCTCCATGTGCTCAGAGACTCTTCTGAGGATCTGAGGGAAATGTTCCTTGTACTTTTTGTTGATGATCTTCATCATTTCTTTCTTCGTAATAAGCTCTTTCATTTTGTACTTGTGTAACAGGAACAGCAACAACAGGCTAGTTCTCCAGATCACAGGGTCTCTTGGAGACTTCTGGGTAGAGGGTGTGGGGGCCTCATTGGAACTTCCCTCAACTTGGCCGTTGGCACCTTCAGCACCATCAGTGCACACAGCTTCTGCAGAAGCAGTGTAGGGGGTTGGCGCTCTCTGGGGTTCCGGGGGACTGGGTGCCTCAGACAAGCTTTGCTGAGAATTGCCAACAGAAGGAGAGGAGGACCGGGAAGACCTTTCCTCCTCTATTGCAGCAGCCTGCGCACCCTCAAGGTCATGGGTGTCAGCTTGGGCTTTGCTACGTTTCTTACGGGCTTGCATCTTACTCTTCTGACCTCGAGGCATGATGACTCTGGTCAAGGACAGCAGGCAGCAATGAGGGAGGACAGGTGACTATGGGTACACTATA